CCGTGTGGGTGCTGGGAAGGGAACCTGGGACCTCTGCAGGAGCAACAAATGTGCTAAAGCACTGAGCCATATCTCCAGGCCCCTAACTCAAACTTTTACCAATTAAAAAAAAAAAAAAAAAAAAAAAAAAAAAAAGATAAATGCTTTAGTCAACCAAATACCTCTAACTTAAGCAAACTGAGATAATTTCAAGTTTGCATTAATAATCACCATCCCTACAGTAGTATTTGCCCTGTGGGGAAAAAAACGAAAGCAATCAGCAGAGTGTGATGGCACACACCTTACTCCCAGTACTTGGAAGGCTGAGGCAGGAGGACGGCAGTAAGTTCAGGACAACCTGGAATAAGGTGCTATCGCAAAAGAAAAATTCCCCAATAAAATAAACTTTAAAGGCAGGCACGGTGGGCATGCCTTTACTCCCAGCACTCAGGAGGCTGAGGCAGAGGCAGGGGGATCTCTGAGTTTGAGAGGCCAGCCTGGCCTACAGAAACAGTTCTAGGACAGCCAGGGCTACACAGAGAAACCCTAACTGAAACTTCCCCCACAAAAAATAAGTAATAATAAACTTGTAAAGTCTGTGACTTTAGGGCTGGAAAGATGGCTCACAGGTTAAGAACACTGGCTGTTCCAAAGGTCCTGAGTTCAATTCCCAGCAACAACATGGTGGCTCATAACCATCTATAGATTGATCCGGTACCCTCTTCTGGCATGCAGGCAGAACACTGTATACATAAATTAATAAATAAATCTTTTTTTTTTTAAGTCTGTGACTTTAATAATATCTGTGTGCTGGTTAGTTTTATATCAACTTGACACAATCTGGAGTCATCTTCGAGGAAGTAACCTCAATTGAGAAAATGCCTCCAAAAGATCCAAAAAGCATGTAGGGCATTTGTGCCATCCCTCACCTGGTGGTCCTGGGTTCTAAAAGAAAGGAGGCTCAGCAAGCCATGATGAGCAAGCCAGTAAGCAACATTCATCCTTGGCCTCTGCATCAGCTCCTGCCTCCATGTTTCTGCCAGGTCTGTGTTCCTGCCTTGGCGTCCCTCAATGGACTGTGTCAGGATATGTAAGCCAAAGAAACTCTTTATTCCCCAGGCTGCTTCTGTTTTGGTGTTTCTTCACAACAACAGAAACCCTAAGACTATCTGCATCAACAGTTACATTACCTACCCAGTACTCAATAAATAGGTCAACGAATTACTTGTTAGAACATAAACTTATTTTTTAGGTAACTTATTTAGTAATTCTACTTGTATACTATTTAGTTAGTTAAGGCAATGGATCGATATCACCAGGCTGTGTATGTCACTATATAGCTAAAGATGACCATGAACTTCTAAATTCTTCCTGTCTCCACATCCAGGGTACTGGGATTACAGGCATGTCCTGTATGTCAGTTTATGTGCTGGAAATGAAAGCCAGGGCTTCGTGCACTCTAAGCAAACACTGCACCAAGGGAACTACACCCACAGCTCTTACACCAGGGGTCTGATATGCCAGTAATGCTCAAGTCAATGCGCTAAACTACAACAACTAAGCATCCTAGTCTACATTACTAAAGCACATTCCTCTTTAGCCCTGACAATACAACACACATCCCCCAACTTTCCTCTTGGAGACAGAGTCACTCTATGTAGTCCTTGCTGTCCTGGAGCTTGTTATGTACACCAGACTACACTCAAACTCCTGCCTCTGCCTCTAGAATTCTTGGACTAAAGATGTGCACCCCACCACCCAGCTGGACCTACTCTTCAGTGTATACCTTTTTTCTTTTGGTTTTTCAAGACAAGGTTTCTCTGTGTAGCCCTGACTGTCCTGGAGCAGCATAAGTGTATCTTAGCTCCACACATACTCATACACACTGACCTGAAGCCTCTTCCCAGAAGTACCAACAAATAAAACGGATGGTACAATATTCTTGACTTAACCAGCTCACTGCCATCACGGATACTCATGAAAAAACAAGTAGACAGACTCTGAAAGTCAAAAACTCATAATGTAGCACCCTTTTATCATCATCTAAAGAAGTAATTTGTTTCAAAAGACCAAACACTCAAGATAACTCCACAGCCAATAAAGGAAGGAAAAGGCCGGCAGGCCACATCAAAGAGCAGTTTAAAACAGTGTACTCTGGCTGCAGAAATGCCCAAGCTGACAAGCACGCACTGCTCTTTCCAGACGACCTGCGTTTCACTAACACCTATGTCAGACAGTCCAACCATCTGGAATCCAGCTCCAAAACACCTGATACCTCTGGCTCCTGAAGACACCTACACTACACCTCCCTCACATACCCTCACAGACACACACACAGTTTTCAACCTAATAATAATACAACTTTCTAAAAGTTCTTTAAAAAAATATTAGCCAGGCAGTGGTGGCACCAGCCTTTAATCCCAGCACTCTGGAGTCAGAGGCAGGCAGATTTTTGGAAGTTCGGGACCATCCTGGTCTATAGAGTGAGTTCCAGGGCAACCAAAGCTACACAGAGAAACCCTGTCATGAAAAACAAAAACAAAACAAAACAAGACCTGCTTTTAGTGTTACTGGTTGAAGAGTTTATTCAAATCTAATTACACCAACTTTAGTTTCTTAAAACCGAACTTTAAGTTATGGTACCTACTACAGAATCATCAAGTTTCTTCCCTACTAACAACAACTTATCCAATCAATCTTCTATGCATTTCTGCCATGTGCATGTCTGTTAGGAGCTACAGAATGTTTAAGATCAAAATTTCCCCATAAAGTTATTCACATAAACGTAAGACGACTGAACACCAAGGTAGGATACAAGTGTCATTTGGACACTTGTACATTTCCCAATGCCACTGAGATAGCGTAAGTGCACAAGCTTGCCAGGCACTCTAGATGCCGAGAGGCAGGTGGATCTCTGTGAGTTCAAGGCCAGCCTGGTCTATATACCAAAGTACCAGGACAGCCAGGACTACATAGAAAGGCCCTGTCTCAACAACAACAACAACAAAAAGTACACAAGGTTTATGTGACTGTTTAAAAAGAACCTCCAGCCACACACAGCAACTTAACTCGGCATTTGCGATCAATTCCTCAGTACTGTGTGTTAGGGTGTCAAGGAGTTTAAAGCTGGCTGAACTGCCCTGCCAAAATGCCTCAGTTCCAACTAAAAACCTAACTTCCTCCACTACTGTATGTTGGTCTTCAGTTCAATTTTAGGCTTTTGGTAGTACAAAGATGCCAACGCATAATCTCTTAAAGTAACGCCTACTACTATAAAAGATACACTGAACCAAGTTGAAAAGAAATGAAACCTGTAAAAGATAGTCTCCCTCCAGGTCTCCCCCTAAACTAGGCAACTGTTCTTACAGACAGGCAAAGGAAATCAGCTTTTTTTCACTTGATGTTAACACAATCTAATCTGGTTTAACTCTCATACTTGCAACAGTTAAGAACTTAAGCAATTAAAAAAAAAAAAAGTAAACATTTAACCACTTCTACTACCCAAATCTTCCCTGAAAATGGTACAGCAAGCTCTCATAAGAAAGACCCTGAGAGGCTGGAGAGACGATGGCTCTGAGGTTAGGTTAAGCGCACTGTCTGCTCTTTAAGAGGTCCTGAGTTCAATTCCCAGCAACCACATGGCAGCACACAACCATCTATAATATGATCTGATGCCCTCTTCTGACATGCAAGTATACATACAGATAGAGCACTCATATACATAAAATAAATTAATTAATGTTTTTTAAAAAAAAAACCCTCAGATGTCATGAGTTTTACTTTGTAAATGTTTTTAAAATTAGGTTTTGATTTTATTAATCCAGGTTAGTAGACACATAAAGGAGAAGCCTGATAGTCTGCAGCTACAAGTTAAGGTTCTTTTCCCCAAAAAACTATCCTTTAGGAGCAACTGTATGTGTGCTTTTTAGTTAAACAAGACACACAACTCAGGGACAACCGCAAGAAACGATGTGAGAAAACATTCGAGAAATCACCATGGAGAAATCCACCGCTGACCCAGGAAGGGCTTTTCCCTCAGAAACAGAAATAACAAGACAAAGTCCTGTCGGATCCAAGCTGACACCTTCCACACTGTAACTTCAAAAAGTTCATCTTTGGCAATTACGCGTAGATGCTCAACTAACTACACATCTTCTGCAACAGGTGCCACGAAACTGCATCTCCAACGCCAAGCCAAGATCAAACTGGTTAGGACACACGGCCCTGTGGTGTTACACTTTTATTTGGAACTTAACCAAAGTGATTTTAAATCGGAAGGATTGCCAAATTTGGTTTGGTCTGGTTTTCTGCTTTGGTCTTTAATCAGCCATTTACCAGCAACTGTTGCACGCGCCCAGAGAGAACTCGGAGAACACAAACAAACGCACAGGACCAGTCGAGGCTCCCCGCTCACCAAGCAACCCTTCCTCCAAAACAGTTCCCACACTAGAGAACTTGGGGTAGGAAAGGAAACGCGTCTACACGTGTTACGATATCTGAATTCTCTCTTTTAAGGAACAGATAGGTTTTGTTTTTTAAATCTCCAAGAAAACGCATTAGACATGCAACGGTTTGCAAAGCAAGAGGCTTCTTTCATTGCAAAATAAACAAAATACCCATACCAAACCAAGGGGAGAAAAAAACGAACTCAATGGATACGTGTGTGCCAAAGTTTCAATCCTGCCAGGTGGAGACACCGCACTTGGCACAAATTTTGAAGAGGAAAGAGAGGGAGGGGAAGAGAAGGAAGGCGAACGAGTGTGTGGCCTGCAAAACTGCAACAATGCGATCTCCATTTTGAACAATGCGCCTCTTTCCTCTTGCAAATCTAGTTTTGTTTTGTCTTTTTTTTTTTTTTTCCTTGTCACTAGACGCGCCGAGGCCCCCGCGCGGGGGTCAGGCCGGGGATGGGGGCGGGGGGGGGGGGGGCCGGGAGGGGGGATGCACTGCACTGGAGAGGGGGCGAGCCAGGGGGAGGGGAGGAGGGGAGGAGGGAGTCCCCAGGCGGCCTGGGTGGGTACCTGGAGTGCTGCTGTATGTACTATGGCTCCTGAAGCTGCTCTCCGTGCAGTAACTGGCGTCGTCGGCGTCGTCCTCCATCTCCTCCGGATAATCGGAGTCATCGTCGTCCTCCTCCATGTCATCCTCCTCCTCGTCCTCGGAATCCTGGGTCTCCTCGGCGTCGCCGTCCTCCTCCTCCTCGTCCTCGTCCTCCTCCGAGACCATGTCCTCCTCCTCGTCGTCGTCCTCGCTCTCGTGGTCATCGTACACCACTTTGTTGACGGCGCGGCGGGCCGGGGTGGTCCGGGCCAGGTGGCCGCCCCCGCCCCCCGTCCTGCCGCCCCCGCCTCCCCGGCCCCCCCGGCCCGGGCCGCTGGCGCTGCTGGCGGAGGCCGGCGGCGGCGGCGGCGGCGGCTG